TACTGGTAACTGGTAACTGGTAGTGGTACTGGATTTGCTCTGCTACTTGGTTTTGCTCCTGCTACTCAACGCAGAGCAGCGGACTCAAGAAGGGGAGTATACTCTCTACTCATGAGTCCCAGGATTTGGGTTTGGTACTGGGATTTGGGAGTATCTACTGGATTTGGTACTGGGATTTGCTGTTACTCATTTCCGGCAAATTTGCCCACCACTACTGCACGCCGGTATTCGGACATTCGAATAGCCTAAGGAAAAATTTATTCGTTTTTTGCTCAACCCTGTTGACCCTTGTCTTGGCCTTGACCCTTGACCAACCAACACACAACACACACTACTATCCATTGGACCACTACACACTACACAGTACAGTACAAACAAAACAAACATGGCGTGTCAAATGGGATCGACTGTGGTCACAAATGGTACAGTGGGTTCAGCTTATAAGTTATTTTCCAATAGTCAATGTTATAACAGGATTCCGGCTAGGCCTATCTTAGATATATTATAGATCTAGACTAGATTTCTAGATCTAGATCTAGATATAGTTGTGTTGATAATGTTTTATTTTCACTCCCGCGCACATATATCATCTAGATCTAGATCTAGATCTAGATCTAGATATAAATCTAGATCTAGATATCTAGATCTAATCTAGATCTAGATTAGATCTATATCTAATCTAGATTTAGATCTAAAATCTAGATCTAGATCTAGACTCTAGATCTACATTTACACTGACTGCTTCGACTTCGGGTGTCAGACTTAAATGTGGAACCCTCTCCGCCTCCCCCCGCCCCACATCCTCGATTTGTTCAAAGAATGGAAAATACTTCGCAGGCTTAGGCCTAGTGCTGTAAAAAAAATTGTGGCACAATTTATTTTTATTTATCCTCAACAGGGGAATCACCCGCCATCCATCGCTGTCCCCTCACTTTGCAGAGCAGTTTGTATTGATCCAGTTTGTCTTATTTTAACTTTTCTAGATCTAGATAATCATATTTCTATATTTTTTCATAATAACAAAACTAAACTGGCATCAGTTTTTGATTTTTTAAAAAATGTTAAAGTATAAATCTTTTATATATTATTATATATACGCAGTGGCTACGTTCACGGCGCCGTGAATGTAATTGGCAGGCTACGCTCACGGCGCCCTGAATGCAGTTTGCAGGCGCTGTTGAGGCTACGTTCACGGCACTTAAGCTTCGTTTAGACGGAGCGTCCACTGCCGGTTTAAGGCATGATGCGGGAGAAATTTTGAAATTCGTTAAGAAGAAGAAACTAAGCTTACAAATGTTGTAGCATCATTGGGTAGCATCAATATAAATGAAATGTGTGGAGAATTAAGTCATGAAGTAAAATTTTGAAAATTCTTTTGTGTTGCTATGGTAACGCCTGCCATTTTGGAATGTCATATATATAGAAAATGCACACATTTCTAAAAAATCTATCTTACGGTTATAAATGATTTTAAATGTTACAATAAGTGGTTTTGCAGCCTTCCGTGGCTGTTTTAGAGGATGGACTTAGCATTTTTGATGTAGGAGGAAAAACTTTTCCTGAATCGAGGTCCTAAATATGAGAATATTTTGACCACAAAAATCTCAGATCCAAACAGCGGATTAAATTTATAACTTATAACAAAATCATTTATTCAAGATTTTTTTGACGTCACTACTTATTACACTAGAATAATGTTTCATCTATCAGTATACCGAAAATTATGACGATATCTTATCTTAACAACTTTTCGCATGATAGATTTTTGTGTCCCCATCCCACCCCCCACCCCCCATGAAAGAGCCCAATTTGAGAGAAAACTCCTAAAAGTTTGGACGTGCAAAACTTACTGTAAACGTAGTCCGTTATACAGTGGCGACCAAGAGAAACTTGAAAATGTAATCACCCAGTCACCGTGTTAAAGCCTTGCATTGCCCACTCATGCAGCATACCAATTTAAAGCTAAATAAATTCTTCATCATCTGGCACATTAATGTTTAATCTATTTTAAGAGACGCCCGAGATAGTGTCACTCAAAATTGACCTTAAAAAATAAGGCTTGGCAAAATTGTGCGAAATCCAAGAAACGTAAAATTGTCTTTGCGCATTTATTGAAGAGTATCAATATTGATCGAATGGCAATATATTGAATGCCCAATGAATGGAGAATTGTGTCTTTGCAATAAACAATATTTTATTACGATATTTTGTCAAGATAGTTTCAAACATATGGGAAAACAGAGCAATCACAGATACCACACAAAACTTCGACTCAACACTAATTGTGTTCATTGTTATTTTGCTTAGGAACCATTGGCTTTGTGTTGTGCACGAAACCTTTGGGCATCAATTCTATTTAATTTTGGACATATTTATCAGTCATTTCATTTCAAATGTCACAGAGAGTTGCAAACAAAGGGTCTGAATTGGGGGCAAAGTCGTTTTTCTTCAGCCGCTGTTTCATGGGACTTCACATACCTGTAGGACTCATATCGGGGCTGTTTGCTGCTAACTATTCGAACGTTGACTTGATTTGGTTATTTAAGAATTCTGTAATGGCATTGGCCCTATGAGAAAATGCCGTGTTTCGCATGGGGATGACTACTTGAATAACACCTTGACGAAAATAAGGGTAAGACATGACGTTCCAGCACTTGCGTGATGTAGTCCACTAAACCAAGGCATCCGGTGATTCTCACGAGAGCGGCTTTGTTCATTCCACCCCAGGCCACCCAAAACCATGGCAGTTTCTTGGCCTCTGTTCCTCACTGACAGATGTTCAAAATCTTACAGGGTCTGTGTGCAAAAGAGGTTTCAAGCTCGGTAAGAAACCAACAGCTCCTGAACAATAACAAAATTAAAACTAATGAACACAAGTAACTGTTACGTCCAGGTTTTGTGAGGCATTTGTAACTGCTCTGTTTTTCAATCTTCATTAGTTTTCTGTTCAGCTCTTCGTTGTTGGTGTTTTGGAAGCTCTGAAGGGCATTGAACATACTTTTGCTAATGCGATGTGTGTAGTCATCTTTTACAATTTCAAAGTCATATGCCATAAAAATTGAGCATCTGATGAGATTTGGCATCTCCGTCACGCAGCATCCTGCTGTATACTAAACCGCAGTGTTCCGCTGATTTTGTGAATATTATTTCAGCCTCCATAGCTTTTGCACTTCCTTGTAAATTTTGCTGGCACTATATTTGATGGTGGGTTCTCAAAGGCAGAATAAAAAAGCGCATATCCGTCATTGTCACCTACTTCTTTATCTTTCTTCATTGGTAAAATTTTCTTTTGGGCGATGGGGCGAGGAGCAAGTTCATCCTCATCTAAAGTTTCCTCTTCACTATTATCACTCTCACGATATGTTCCATCACTATACCTACACCACTAGTGCCTATCAATGTTCGAATTGTCGTGTGATGTGCTGAAGAATGTCGATGCCATTGCAGTAGGCTGTGGTAATCTTGAGAAATTGAGGCTAGGGCATCAAAGTATTTTGGA